ATTATATTCATTATTTTGTTTTTATTGGTTCTATTCTGTTCTGTTCTGTTCTGTTTGATTTTTACTATGTCTGAAGGTATCTGCAGCTATTTTGACAACAACAAAAGGCACTATGGTAACTATTGTTGATTTTGTATTGTTTTGAGGTCCTGTATAACTTACATTGTTTTGATTGGTTTTATTCTATTTTATTTTCCTTGATTTTATCCTCTTTAAAATAAAATAATAAAAAGAGGGAAAATTATAGCAGTAAATATCCATATCAAGAAAACAGAGTAAGCACATATAAACAACTTAATGTTAAACCTCAGACTTCTAGAAAAAGAAGAGCAGGCTAAGCTAAAAGTTTATGCAGGGGAGGAAATTATAAAGATCAGAGCAGAAATTAACACACTGGAGACTAAGAAAACAACACAAAGAATAAATGAATTGAAGAATTCGGGTTTTTTTGTTTTGTTTTGTTTTGTTTTTGGTACCAGGGATTGGACTCATGACTTCATGCTTACCAGGCAGGTGCTTGTGCCATTGAGCTAAATCCCTGGCCTGAAGAGTTGGTTATTTGAAAGATTAAATAAAATTGATAAACCCTTATCCAATCATATCAAAAAAGGAAAGAATAGACTGAAATCCATGCAATTAGAAATGAAAAGGGTGAAATCACAAAAGACCCTGAAGAAATCCAGAAAATCATCTATACCTACTTTGAAAATTTGCAATCTGATAATATAGAAAAGACAGAAGAAATGGACACAGTCCTAGATACATATGAATTACTAAGCTGAATCAAGAAGATAAAAAATCCTAAATAACCCAATATCAATAAATAAAATTAAAGAGGTAATTTAAAATCCATGAACAAAGAAAAGCCCAGTCCCTGATGGATTTACTACTCAATTCTACAAGAAATTTACAGAAGACCTAACACCACTACTTCTCAAACTTTTTAATGAAATCAAAAGGAAAGCAATACTTCCAAATTCATTCCTGGAAACAAGCACTGCCGTGATACAAAAACCAGAGAAGGACCCAATTAAGAAAGATAATTATAGGCCAATTTCCCTAATGAACATTGAAGCAAAAATGCTCAGTAAGATACTGGCAAACAGTATGCAGCAAATCATCAAGAAGATTATACATCATGACCAAGTGGGATTCATCCCAGGGATGCAGGGATGGTTTAACATACATAAATCAATAAATGTAATACACCATATCAACAGAGCCAAGGATAAAAATCATGATCACCTCAGCAGATGCAGAAAAAGCTTTTGACAAAGTCCAGCACCCATTCATGATAAAAACCCTACAGAAAATTAGAATAGATGATCTTTATCTCAATCTGATAAAAAGCACCTATAACAAACCAATAGCCAGTATCACACTAAATGGTCAAAAACTGAAAGCTTTTTCTCTAAAATCAGGAAAAAGAAAAGGATGTCCATTGTCTTCACTGTTATTCAATATAGTCCTGGAAACTTTAGCCAGAGCAATGAAACAAGATAAAGAAATAAAAGGAATGAAGATAGGACAGAAAGAAGTTAAACTATAGCTATTTGCAGATGCCACGATACTCTGCTTAGAAGACCCCAAAAACTCCACCAAAAGATTACTAGATTTTTTTTGGTTATTACCAGGGATTGAATTCATGTAGGTACTTATGCCACTGTGCTAAATCCTCAGTCCAAATAATAGACTTAATAAGAAAATTCAGTAATGTAGTTGGTTAGAAAGTCAACACTCAAAAAGGCTATTGAGCCTTCCTGTACATGAATAATAAACTGGCTGAGAGAGAAATCAGGGCAAAATACCTTTTACAGTAGCATACAAAAAAGTGAAATACCTAGGAACCAATTTAACAAACGATGTAAAATACCTTTATATTGAAAATTTCAGTACTCTGAAACAGGAAATTGAAGAGGATATTGGAAAATGGAGAGATTTTCATGCTCTTGGGTAGGAAGAACCAATATAGTGAAAATGGCCATACTTTCAAAACTGTTATTAAGATTCAATGCAATCCCACTGAAATGTGGCCAGAGTCCAGATATAGTTGATTAATAACAGCAAGACTTATTTGATAATGCCAGTGAGACTACGCCTTTAATTCTGGTTTCTGGCTATGAGGTTGGAACCACACCTGTCCAATCTGCAGCAGTCTGGGTGTCCCCTACAGCTTGAACTTGGGTCCCTTCCAGCTCAACTTTAGCTTCATGACTTCCTGCTAACTTGAACTTGGCTCCCTTACCCTACACTGGGAGCTGCTTAGATAGAGCCAGCAGTTGCTCTGCACTGACCCTGGACAAGTGCCTTCTTCTGGGTGACATCTTAACCCGAATAACTTACCAGCTGCTGCAGTCTGCTTTATCCACTGCTCCATTCCACTGGTGCATTTCTCCTTAGAGGTTTCTGGAGTCACCAGTGGCCACTATGGGCCTGCAGGTTTGAGGCCACATTGTGAGTCCCTGCTCACGGGGAAAGCACCATCAGCTACCTCCATCTTCTTAGTTGAAGTCTTTCTCCTTGTGGGCTTCAATTCTTGCTTCAGACCCTTCTGGAGTCCCAATGATCCACCTTTTTCCTTCTCTTCCTCACATTGATATATTCCAGAATCTGGACACCAAATCTCTGAAATGCTCTTTCTGTACTGCTCATTAGTCTGCCATCTTCCAGAAAGTCCCCCTTGCTGTTTGTTGTTGGTTTGTTTTTCTTTTTGAGGCAGGGTGTCACTATGTAATACAGACTAGCTTTGAACTCACAGCAGTTCTCCTGCATCAGCCTCCTGAGTGCTGGGATCACAGTTGTGTGCTACCACACCTGGCCCATATTAAGAATTTAATACTTTATTTTACTGATATGTTCCTATTAATTACACATTACATAATATGATACGAATCTTCTTTTTTTTTAAAAAAAAAAAGGAGTACCTTCTTACAGAACAGCAAGACTAGGGGCTGGGGATTTAGCTTAGCGGCATAAGCATCTGTCTTGCAAGCAGGCGGTTGTGAGTTCGGTCCCCGGCACCAATTAAAAAACAACAAAAAAACAAAAACAAAACAGCAAGACTAGCAAGCTGTCAACTATGTCCTACTAAAAGGCCAGGAAAGCAAACTATATGTGCTGTCAGTGGAAGTGATACACGTGTGTGTAAAATGCTGCTGTCATATGTGAAGACTGTTTTAGGTGTAATAATTGAAGTAAAGATTTTTTTTTAAAGAAGAGTGCTATTGGTGTTTTTATTGTAGTTACATAGGACTTTGACCAGGTGTGGTGGCACATGCTGGTAATCCTAGCACTCAGGAGGCAGAGGCAGGAGGGTTGCTGTGAGTTTGACGCCAGCCTTTGGCTACAAAGTAAGTTCAAGCCCAGCCTGAACTGCATAGTGAAATTTTGTCTCAAAAGACAAAAAATTAAAAATAAATACATAAAGGAATTTATTTCTGTTGTTTTTTTTACACTTTGTACACCAAAGCCAATGTTGAAAATTTTTACATTTTATAAACTCAATAAATATTAAAAATACTTTATTTCTATGATTTTTTTCTCATGTGAAGCACTTACTGTTTAACATATTAAAACTCATAAAATTAAAATAAATAATTCATCAATAAAAAGATTCTAAAGAATAAACACAGGTGTGACACACCCACGGTTACAATGTGTAATGACGAAAAGTGTTAAAAAAAAAAAAAAGAGAGGAAGAATTCTTAAGTTTTGGGTGCATAGTTCTGTGCATGTTCATTAAATCAAGTTTTCTGTGTGCCTTTGGTTTTTTGTTTTTGTTTTTGAGACAGGGTTTCCCTATTTAGTCCAAGATGAAATTGAGCTCACTGTCTAGCTAGACTGGCCTCAAACTCACAGTGATCCTTCTGCCTCAACATCCAGAATGCTGGAACCACAGGCATGCACCACCAGGCCCAGGTTTTGTTTTGTTTTGCTTGTTTGTTTTTTAGTGCTCAGGATCGAACTCACGACCTCACGCTTGCCAGTCAAGGGCTTATGCCACTGACTTAAATCCCCAAGGCCCTGTTTGTTTTTGTATGTATGTATTTATTTTTTTGTCTTTTTGAGTCAAGATCTCACTATGCAGTTCAGGCTGGTCTTGAGTTCATTCTACCTCAGGCTGGTCTTGAATTTGCAAGGATCCTCCTGCCTCAGCCTCCCAGTATGCTGGGATTACAGGCCTTTACTACCACTATAGTACTGGTGTTCTTTTTACGGTCGCCATGGCAGCAGTCCAGGAGAGGTAATGGTAAGGTGGGTACAGAGAAGACAGAAGTAGTGGGTTTCCACAAGTATTAGGAGAAAAAAAGGATTAATTAATGGTGTGGCTTTGGGGCTGGGTTGGGGCTAAGGAAAAGCGAAGGAAAGAGGCTTTGGAAAGGACCCTCCTGGTCTGCGTTAGGGACCTTCACTGTAGCAACGCTGTGCAACTCAGAGAAAAATACCTGGGAGAAATCAGGAAATCTCTTGTTTTTCCCCAAGGGTGTTTGATTCTTGTGGGACACAATAGGGGGGAGCTGGGGCTGAGATTCAGCAGTTGCCTTTCTTTTTCTACAGAGATCTGTGAGTATCTGTATTACGGCACCTACTCTGGTATTGTCACGTTATATTACGTCACACCCATTGACTGAATTTCCTTTTGGCATCACTTGGACTTTGCCTGACGCCCGATCGACTTCCTTGGAGCCCAGCCCCAGCCCTCGCCCCCGCCCCCAGAGGCTTCGACCTGGGTGGCTCCTCAGTGCAGACCTAGCCCTAAAGGGCTTCACTCCGCCCCAAGCAACCGTTTCCTCTTAGTCTAGTAGGACCACAGTGATTGACAGATCAGTTTTCCAATCATCCTGCCGAGTGGCTAAGTAGGCGATAACAGAGGCGGGGGCAGAAGTATAAGCTGCGGGTGACCAGGAAGTGAGAGCTGAGACTGTAGAGAAGGACGGGTTGAACCAGATCGGAGGTAGAAAGGTGACCTGGTATCTGCAACCTTTAATTTTTCCCTTTTGCGGGCTAGGGGTCCCTTTGCAGTCTATGGGCTAGGCTCTCCTTTGCCCTTTCTTTGGAGAAAGGGGGCGTGTCGGCTTACTTAAGCGTTTGAGGATCTTGGGCTCCTTCCTCCCGCTTCTCCTCCAGGGGCTGGTCTCAGCCTGAGGTGGGTTCCTCTCCAATGAGCCATAAGGTTTGCGAGAACATTGTAGGCGGTAGGGCCGAGAGACAGGGACAGGAGAGATGGGGATGTGAGATTCTCGGACTCCGCTCCTTTGCTGGAAGTTAGACACCTACGGGTGTGGCCGGCGATAGGGAAAAGGTGGAGGGGCCCTGGGAACTAGATTCCTGTGGTTAGGGAACTGGAACTAGAGTAGGATGTGAAGAAGTGGAAACATTCTTAGGTGGAGGTTGTGGTAGTTCCCTAAGAGGTGCGGAAGCCGGGGTTGTGCTCGGCTTTAAATTCCCTTCTCACCTCCAAATTTGTGAGCTGTTTGCCTCTTTTATCTCCTCAGACTGGGGGATACACCTGAACATGTGGAATCCCAATGCCGGTGAGTATTTGGGTGATCTCTGCCGTACAATCCACTAAGAAAAAAATTTTTTTTGCTGTCTCTTTGAGATAGGATCTCGGTATACAGTCCAGACTGATCTTGAACTGTGTAGCCCAGGCTAGCCTTGAACTCACTATGTAGCCCAGGTTGGTCTCAAACTTGTAACGATCCTCTTGCCTTAGCCTCCCAAGTGTGGGACTATAGGTGTGCTCCACCACTCCTGGCATTTTCATCGTGATCCTCTGCCCTCAGCCTTCCTAGGGATTATAGGCCTATGCCACCACCCGGCTCCATCTTTTTCCTGTGGACTACAGAACAGGAAATTTCTGTGTCATCCCCCAATCCTTTCTCAAACCTGTAAAAGCCAAGTCTTTAGACCACTGCTACCACGTTTTTCACTTTTGTGGAGTTCACTATAGAGAGTCCTCTCCTCAGCCCAGTTCTCTCAGGCCTTATCAGGAACATTTACCTTTTTCTCCCCAACTCAGATTTGTCTTTGACCTTTTCCATTTCACTTTAAGTACCAGGTGAGAAAGTCAACTCCACTCCCCTCTGCCCCCATACTGGGGATTAAACTCAGGGCCTTTGTTGAGCTACATCCCTAAACCTGCCCCCACCCCCTTTTTTTTAAAGGCAGAATCTTGCTGTGTTCCCAAGCTAAGCTTCAACTTGCGTTTTGTTTTGTTTTGTTTTGGTTTGGTTTGGTTTTTTTTTTTTTTTTTTTTTTTTTTTTTTTTTTTTTTGCCTCATCCTCCCAGAGTGCTGGGATTTCAGGCATATGCACCATGCCTATCTAAAAAGTCAATCTTTTATTTTTTTTTTTCTTTGTCAGAGGTTCTGAGCAATTCTAATCCTTATTCTCTGATTCTTCCACCAGGGCATCAAGGGCCAAGCCCATATCCACCCAATCCTACCTGTCCACCGCATCCACCACATGTCAATCCAGCCTTTCCTCCAGGCTCCTGTCCTCCTCCCCAAGGACCTCCTCTAGGCCCTCCCCCGGGGAATCCGGCTTTCCCACCCTGTGGGCCTGGCTGTCCTGTGCCCCACCCACCACCACCGGGTCCAGGATACCCACCTGCAGGTCCCTATCCTCCATGCCCCCCACCTGGCCCTGGCATTCCTCCATGCCCCCCACCGGGCCCTGCCTTTCCTCCAGGGCCTGTGGGCCTTGATAAGGTGTTGGACAAGAAGCTACGGAAGAAAATGAAGAAAGCTCATAAAAAGGCCCACAAACACCACAAGCATGGCAAGGTCAGTGTCTGCAGGGGTCTGGCTGGTGGAAGGGTGCTGCCCTCCAGAGGGGCAGGTTGGGTCTTATTTATTTTTCAGTCTGTGGAGTCAGTCTGTGGCTATGGCAGGTGGCAATTGTGTTCTTTTGGAAATTTGTTCTTCTTTTCTTTTCTTTTTTTAATCGGTACTGGGTATCGAACTCATGACCATGCACTTGCAAAGCAGGAGCTTATGCTGCTGAGCTAAAACCCCAGGCCCTGTTCTTTCTTTCTTGAGAAGAAATACAGTGTGGGCCCCCTCCTATCTGGAAGGGGCCATGGGAAACCCTAGAATGGGTAGGCCCAGTCAAAAGCCGGTCTCAGTTGTGTTACTGGCTCAGAACTTTGCCCCCCTCTCAGGTACAGGCTTTGGCAAGTTGGACACACCCACCAAAATTGTCCAAATGACAGATGAGTCAGTCTTTTGATAAAGTCTTATGTAATAATTAACAATAATAATTTGGCCCTGATCCTCTTCTCTCTGTCAAAGTTCTCAGGGCGTTGTGCTAAGTACATAGGCTGGTCCCACTTATGACTCAACCTCAAACAAAGCCTAGCCTTAGGGGTTTCATATTCAGCCCCAAAGAAAAGTATGTTCTTTCTGCAGGAGTGCTCTTTGGCAAGAATAGGAGCAGCTCTGAGGATTTAGGAAAGGAAGAAACCAACCTAAATCTTGAAGAGGCTTAAACTATATTTTACCACTCAGTACTTATTTGCTTTGTGGATTTGGGCTCCCCTTCTTTGTTCTCCCTGCACACACAGAGTTTTGCTAATGTGGACCAGCCCTTGAGTACACTATGTAGCCCAGACTAGCCTCAAACTTTGGACCGTCCTTCTTTCTCAGCTTCCTGAGTGTTAGGATCACAGGTGTGTGCCATCATGCCCGGATTTTGTAGTTTTTGAAGTTCCACACTCCTTTTGTGGATTTTAGGCTGGTCTTAAACTCACTAAGTATCCCAGGCTGGCTTGAACTCATGGTGATCCTGCTGCCTTAGCCTCTGAAATGCAGAATTACAGGCTTTTGCCATCCTAAGGGGCTTGGGCTCTAGTTCCTGATTCTGGATCTTTTTGGTTGAAAAGTTGATGAGGAAAGAAGAAGGTCATATTGAATGAGGGAAAAGTTATACTGCAGGGCCTAAAAAAAATATCTTTTTTGGGGACCGAGGATTTAGCTCAATGGCATAAATGCTTGCCTTGTGATTGCTAGGCCGTGAGTTCAATCCCTGGTACCAAAAAAAACAAAAACAAAAACAAAAACAAAACCCAAAACAAAAAAATCTTTTTGTTCATTTGTTTTTTGAGACAAGGTCTCATTGTGTAGTTCAGGCTGGTCTTGAACTCACTATAGTCCAAGCTGATCTCAAACTTGAGAAGATCCTCCTGCCTCAGCCTTCCTTTTTTTTTTGAGACAAGGTTTTGCAAGGCTGGCCTTGAACTTCCTGTGTAACCATACTGACCTTGAACTTGTCACAGTTCTCTTGCCTCAGCCTCCTAAGTGCTGGGATTACAGGCATGCATCATCATGGCCAGCTAAAAATGTAGTGGTAGTATTGATGAGAGTATGTCTGTAAAGAATCTTCAATGGAACTCCCCAGCCTTCTCTCCCACTTTCCCCACTTTCTTTTGTTGGGGCTTAGGGTAAAAATAGAGATCGGCACATCCAGCTGCCATTTGTACTCATTTTAGAGTCCTATGATCTAATTTGTTGGATTGGAAGGGACTTTGCATGCAACTAATCTCTAGGCATTTATAAGGTAACAGCTGTTTCTAACATCATACTGTGCTTGTGCCTATAATGTACTCCTTGCCTTGGTATGAAAATGTGGAAACTTGATCCAAAGATATGTTAAATTCTGTACAGTGATGTAGGATGGTTTAGTCCAATCCTAAATTGCTCACTGCTGATGGAAACCCTGGATTTTTCCATTTAAGGGACAGTCTGCTCAAGATTCTTGCTCTTTGGGTGGAGGGGTGGGGCACCTGAGAATGGCCCAGGAAGTGATCGAAGGTCATTTGGATCTGATGCTATGTCCTCTCCCCTTTCCCCTTGCAGCATTCCTCTTCCTCCTCTTCCAGCAGTGACTCTGACTGAATACAGGGCCTGGACCCTCCCTCAAGTCTCACCAGCCCTGCTCTCCCATCAAGCTTCAGCTGCCGTGCATTGTGCTGGGGGGAATTAGCTCTTGTCCCCTGCCTTCTCGAGCCTTACCCTGCTCTTCAGCCCTGTCCTCTAGGGACGTGGGAAGTGGATCCCATGGGATAGCAAAGGCTCCTTGATAGATCCGTAGCTGAAGAGTAGCAGGGAGCAATGTTTGAAGATGGTGAGATCTTTGAGCTGAATGCTGAAGACAAGCTTAAAATCTGTAAAATGAGATCTTTTTCACATTTTCTTTTGTAACACAATTGGGAAGTTTGGGGGAAATTTCATTATAATGGAAAACCTGTACCTTTGTTGTAATGGTGGCACACTTAGGTGATTTAGTGACAAATATGTTTCCCAGCAGGTCTTTTGTTGGCCTCAAACTCACAGCTGTCCTCCTGTCTCAGCCTCCTGAGTGTTGGAATTGCAGGCTGTGCCACCACACCTGGCACCCTTTTTTGTACTAACCACATGCCTGCTTGGAGATTAAGCAGTCTACTTGATGAGCTCCTGACTGCCCTTTTAGAAGCTGATCTCTATCCTTAGCTCAGTATACTCTCTGAAGTCCTGCTCATACTCCAGCTTTCAGTGCAAATAAAGCTATTTCTCCTGGTCTCTGTTCACCATTACCTTGGCTGGGCCCAGCAGATTGGACTACTTTTGCTATCCTTCTGAAGATTCTCACAGAATATGAGTCTTTACAGTAAGGAACCAGATTATCAGTAAGGAAGACATCATGTGATTCTTATGTTTCTTTCCTTTTTTTTTTTTTCCCTTTCTGATATTGTGGATCAAACCCAGGGGCACTCTACCACTGAGCTATGTCCTCAGCCCTTGTAAGACAGAGACTTGCTAAGTTCCCCAGGATGACCTCAAACTTTAGCCTCCCAAATAGCTGGGAATTTTGTTTTCAATCTGATACACAGGTTTTCACTGCTGCCTGCCTATCGACTATGAAGAGTAATTTAAGGTCCATATTTACTGAATAAGAATCTTTATAGATATGGCCCAACAAAAGAGTACTTTAAAGAAACTGGGTGATAAATCAAGGTAGACGTGGAGGCACATGCCTATAATCTTGGCACCAAGGAGGCTGCAGCAGAAGGATCATTCCCATAAATTGGAGGTTAGCCTGTACTACATAGTGAGTTTAAGACCCCTGAACTATGTAGTGAGACCTTGTCTCAAAAAAAAAAAAAAAAAAAAAAGCCTGGGAGAACTCTGGTTGATTATATGACATACACAGTTCTACCCATTGAGGCTTTGTTTTTGCTATATGGACTAGACTGACCTCAGCACATAGTTTGGCTGTTTTTGAGGGGAGGAGATACTCTACATTCGAGGCTGGTCTCAAACTCACAGCAATCTTCCTGCCTCAGCCTCCCAAGGACTGGGATATAGGCAAGTACTACCATGCCTGGCAACTCATTTGGTTCTTTTTTTTTTTTTTTTTTTTTTTTTGTCTTTTTCCTTTTTTTATCGGTACCAGGGATCGAACTCACGACTGCCTGCTTGCAAGGCAGGTGCTTATGCCGCTGAGCTAAATCCCCAGCCCCCTACTCATTTGGTTCTTAAAGATTGGTTGAGTGGAGGGAAAAGTCACATATGAGAAATAATAAAATCAGATTCTTCAAAGTACCAGAGGAACAGGAGGGGTGTTGTATGCCTGTAATCCCAGTTATTTAAGAAACTGGAGCGGGGGATCACAAGTTCCTGGCCAGCACTGGCAACTTAGTGAATCTCAAAAAGTTGGGCTAGGGATGTAACTCAGCAGTAGAATAGTGGTCTAGCAAGTGCAAGCCCCTGAATTCCATCCTTAGTACTATAAGGAGAAAAAAGGAAGAAAAAGTACCAGAAGGATATAACAATTCTAAGAAGTGAGGAAAGCAACAGAGATGACTTCACCTGAAAAAGAGACATTTGACAACCTCTTGGTCTCTTTTGTCTTTTTGAGGCAGGGTCTCAGTATGTAGTGCAGGCTGGCTTTGAACTCCCTTCTGTAAGCCCAGTGTCCTCTCTTAGGTCCTACTCATTCTCGCACTCATGACAATCCTCCCGCTCCAGCCTCCTGAGTACTAGGATTACAGAAGTTTACCACTATTCCTGGCTCCTGGCTTTGAATTGGTAACCGTCTAAGTAGCAGGAGTTACAGGTTTACACCACTGTGCCCAGTTTGTACCTCTTGACTGTTAAGTGAAAAGTATAGATAGAAAAGATTAAAAATAGACTTACCAAGTGAATGGTAGAGATTAAAGAAGCCATTGTTCAGGTAGAGTCATGGAACTCCATAGCATGTCTAGGAAGTCCCGGTAACCCATGTTTCGGAAGTTTTCAAGGAGAAAACCTGGATTCCTGGAAAGTTGTCTCCTGAGGAAAATACCGTGTTCTGGGTGCTGATGATAGAAAGCTGAATAAAATGGTCCCTTCTCTTTGTTACCTGCATTATCTAATGGAAACCAGGTGTTGTGGCACATGCCTATAATCTCAGCACTGGGGAGGCTGAGACAGGAGGATCTTACAAATTTGAGACCATGGGCTAGGGATTTAGCTCAGTGGTATAAGCACTTGGCCTAGCAAGCACAAGATCATAAGCTTGAACCCTGGTACAAAAAAAAATTTTTTTTTGAGACCAGCCTGGGCTACAAAGTGAGCTCAAGTCCAGTTTGAACTACATAGCAAGACCCCCATCTCAAAAAGAACATAACAAAACAAAAATAAATAATCCAAAAAAGATCTAATGGAGCAGAGAAACATGCAAATGGGATGAAAATATAGAACCTCCAAGGACAGGAATCAAGCAAGGCAAAACGGGAGGAGTGTTAGTCTCAGAGAATAAGCTAGGTCTACTCTGCTGAGCAGGAGTTTCCTGTTCACTAAATATCAGCTATTTATGTCGTGCCAGGTGCTGCATGCTTTGTAACTTGCATTGTCTTCACAGCAACTCTCTGAAGTAGGCCGAAGTATTCCCATTTTGTAGTTGAGGGAAATTGAACTATTAAGAGGTTATAAATAGGTTATGGTAGTATACTCCTATGATCCCAGCCTTGTGGAAGGCTGATGTGGGAGGAGTGAAAATTTAAACTCAACCTGGGAAATTTAGCAAAACCCTGTTTTAAATACCAATTTTAAAAAAGGGTGGGTATTATAGGTGAGTGTGAACACCTGTGTTCCATTCCTAGCTGAAGATCACATTGTGTATGGCAGTAATGGTTCAGGCAGGAGCAGAAGAACGATAGCCACACACTACCAGGCTCCATGGTAGAGGTCTTACTATATTTTATAGCTGCCTTCTAATTATTTTATTATTTTTTGGTGTTGTTGAGACAGGGTCTTACTATATAGTCAGGCTAGCCTCAAACTCACCATGTAGCACGGGCTGGCCTTGAGCTCAAGGAAATCCTCCTGCTTCAGCCTCCCAAGTGCTGGGATTACAGGCGTATGCCACCACTCTGGCCTTGTAATGTTATCAGAATATCCAACCCAAATACCCTCTCTTCCAGTGTCCTGGATTTGGTTGCAATTCTAATTTTCCCCCCTTAGTTAATGTGTTTTCATTTATCAGCTCTTCCTTGCTGAGAACAAAGATATGGACTTGGGGATGGAGATTGTGAGGTAAAGAGAAATAGATGTTGAAAACATAAGCTCGGCTGGAGATTTAGCTCAGCGGCATAAGCGCCTACCTTGAAAACATAAGCTGGAAATGGGCAATGGGAGGGAGCTAGGAGAAATCCCAAAGAGGAAGAGAGAGGGGCTGTGGTGTAGCTCAGTACTAAAGCCCTTGTCTAGTATGGGTGAGGCCCTGGGTTCTGATAAATAAACATAAGAAAGAGAAGTTAGGAAGAAAATTCACTGACCTTCTACCTAATTCTAATGGGAGAGTGCAGCTTCCTTACTGGCATCTCTGAACCTTATACAGAGTGCTTTACTTTTTTTTGGTTTTTGCTTTCTCTCTCTCTCTCTCTCTCTCTCTCTCTCTCTCTCTCTCCTATGATTTTCTTGGGATAGGACCTTGCTATGTAGTTCAGGCTGGACTTGAACTCACTGTGTCACCCAGCTGGCCTCAACCTCACAGTGATCTGTGACAGCCTTCCTAAGTGCTGACTTAGGAAGGATCTTTCTAACTCAGCCTCCTAAGTGCTGGGTTACAGATGGCTCTCAACTTTTTTTTAAATTGGTATACTTTAGATATACATAGTGATAATTTTCATCATAGGGGGCTGGGGAAATAACTCAGTTTGCCTGATAAGCCCAAGGTCGGAAGTTTGATTCCTGGTACCAAGAAATAAATAAATAAGAATATTCAACATAGGGAATTTGTATCAGCACTCAAGTTTTAAAAAGCAAAAAAATAGGGTCTGGAGATTTAGCTCAGCGGCTTAAGTGCCTGCCTTGCAAGCAGGCAGTCGTGAGTTTGATCCCTGGTACCGATAAAAATGAAAAAGACAAAAAAAAAAAGCAAAAAAATAAAATAGGTGTGGTAGTTAGTACACATCTTAGTAGGAGCACTTGTCAGACTGAGACAGGAAGATTGCTGTGAGTTTGAGACCAGCCTGGGTTACCAGAGAGACTTTATCTCAAAAAAGCTCACCCCATTAAAAAAGTAATACTGTACATTCACTTGGGAAGAAAATTACAATTTTTTCTTTTCTTCATTCTTTCATTTTGGGTGGTGTTGGAGGGTAAACCCAGGGCCTTGTGCATAGTAAGCATGTGTTCTCCTGTTGAGCTGCACTACTATCCAGTCCTGCAACATTTTAAATAGTATGTTCAACAAAAAATAAGGTTCTCTTCTCACCCTAGGTTCTCTCCAAGGCAACCATGAGTACCAGATTGTTTTATAAACCTCCACAGCTATTCTGTGCAGTCAACTGCCTCTTCATTTTTACCTTACATTGTTACTATTGCTCCTTTCTCTGCTTTATAGCAAATGGGAGCATGCTATTGGCTCTGTTTTGTTTCTAAAATTTTCTCATTTACTTAGAATGGGTTCTGTGCACATACATATAATATACACATATACACACAGAAAGATGGAGATAGAGATGGAGGGGAATCATATGCTACTTAATGATATTTCAGTCAAGGATAGACTACATACTTTGATGTTTCCAAAACATACTGCTTCAGCCAGACACAGAGGATTGCATGTCCAACCTGGGCAATTTTGCAAGACCCTGTCTCAAAAAAAATAAAATAGGGTGTGACATAGTTCAGTTTAATCTCCTGTGCTGAAAAAAAATTATATTGTCTTAAATTGCTTACATAAGGCAACTCTGGATTTAATCCCAATACTATACACACACACACACACACACAAAGATTATATCATCTAGTGACATGGTAGCCATCTTTGTGTCAGTGGACCCTATAATGTTTCCACAGGGTTGAAATCACCTAGTGACATTTTTTTCAGACCATTTCCTTGTTGTTAAGCAATCCATGACTATATGTATATACTGTGTGTAGATATGTAGAACTATAAGCATATACACACATATATACATACATAGTATGTGTAGATGTATATTTTAATAATACTCAAAATAATATTCAACCAATTTTTGTGTATCAGTCCTTTTTAAAATTTAAAAATAATTTTTTTGAGAAAGGGTC